TCTGGTAACATATGCATACACTTGAAGAGGGTGCAGTAAAAGGATGGTTTTGTCCCGATGAAGCAAAATAACATAAGAACGCCTCCGGGACATGGCATACATTCCAGCATCAGCACAATCAGCTTCCACTGGAAACAGCCAGTACTTGGAGACCAGCTCCACTGCCAAGAGTAATATGTTAAATCCAGGAACATTTTCATGTATTGCCTGCAAGAGTCGAATTCAAGACCCCACGCAAAATATGCTCAAATGGAACTCCCAAAAACAGTCTCTATTTTGCACGCAACATCAGAAAATGTCAGAAATGCTATGAATCCCAGCCGCAATTGGTGGCTCAGTATGCAATATCCAGCATAGCCAGGCTTTCAGAATGGTGTAATGCTTGCCAAATGACCCTTCCCGTTTGCCCATCATGCTCCAATCTTGACATGGGGAACCGGTGACGTCGACATCCACCGGGTCAGTGCTGGAAGACATTTGGCAGAAGCGGCCATGGATGGCACATGGGACAGGACCATCAGTGATATGATAGGATTCAAGAATCCTAACCGCTGTGCGTACAAAGAATCCAAGCTGATGGGTCTTGCAAATGCTTCAATTCCTCGAAGCGATGAAAAATATCGCGGACCAAGTGACAGCCAGTTCTGCAGCGCTGCCAGGCCAATACCTGCTGGCACATGGGATCTTTTTCCTGGGCGGGCCAGGTACTGTTTTGAAAGAGCGCTGCTGCAATTGCAATTCACAACATGTGTGACATGTTTGCAACGCTTTGCTTGAAAAGTGTGAGAACGGAGAGATGAGCTGAGGCTTCCGCGCAAAGTTCAGCAGTTTGGATGTTGCACGGAAGGCCGGCAGCAAGAAGAGCTTGCTTCAAAAAGTCGAGTCTCAGTCAGAAGTACACGCCAGTGTCCCAAATGCACAAATGAAAATGCCCCTGATCCACATCTCTCAATTGTCGGTTCTGAGTAACTCTGCCCAGGCGCGATGTTTCTGCTGCACCTGATCCACTGCAGTGAGAGCTGGATCTCTTGGCTTTGCATAAAGCTGTTTGGTGTACAGCACGGCCAAGCAGTGTTTGCAATACTTGCACTGCCACATGTGCCCACATGAAAGTCGAATCCATGGCTCAAGAAAAAGTCCTGATCGAAAAATGCGGTACCGAAAATCAAATTACCGTCAATTAGTCTTCTGACTGTGGGTGTAAGCTCCAGATTTAGAGTGAATCTCTTGATTGCGCGTGTAAGCTCCAAACGTATACGTGCAGTTTGCTTGTGTTTGAAATGAAAATTGACAGTAAAATTGAACGCGCCTGCAGACACATACAAAGACTTATTTGTGTCAGATTGTGAGCGCGCAGGCGCACACAGCACCTGACGTGTTATTCTTGTTCAAAAAATGAACGCACCTGACATCGCCAAAGACTTATTTGTGTCAGATTCTGAGCACGCAGGCGCACACAGCACTCATTGCTTTCTGCAATTGACTGGCTAGTGGCGCGACTCAAGGCGCATTTTCTGTGCGAAAGCTGCGCAAAATGGCTGGATCCTGCAGCTTCAGCGCATCAATCTGGCTGTGCCAGGAACAACACAGACTGCTAGGCCCTGATTCAAGCCCCCCTTTGCAATGAAAACAAGCACTACCCCGAGCTGGAACGCAGAAATTTTCACTAAGTAAACTATATAATTAATATTTCCTTGAGACCGCAGCCCAACGCGCAGGTCTGTCTCCGTATTATGGAGACTGCAGCATGAAGCGCAAGTCTCAAGGATTTCCACAAAGAGGAGCGTTCCGATGACAAACGCGTGCTTTGCAAAGTAATGAGAATCAAAGGGCTTTTCGCACATCTTTGACAAAATCGGAAAGAATTGTTCCACTTCACTTTACGGGAAGCGCCGCTCTTCTTCGGTCTTTCCTGTGACGAGAATGTGGAACGTCTTGAATGAATGGCAGTGGCTGGAGCATTTTAATGGCATGGTGATCACTCACTATTCGGTAGGGCATCCAAAATCTGGCCAAAGTGATGTAGTACTGTAAATAGTTGAGAGTCACTGCATTCAACATCGCATCAAAGGACTGGCCTTCAAAATGGGTTGGTCAGTGAAACACAACGTTCCAATTTGCCAATTTGTCAAATAAAACTGGCTGATGAGTACATGTTTGCAATGGATACTCCCACATGCCGCCTGCTCCTCGATCTTCTCAAAGTACTCAAAGTTGTTTTGGAACCTCAACTCCCTCAATGACTTTGGAGGCTGGGCAGGCGGTTGCTTTGTCTGCACTGGAACCTGTCCTGCATCTTGTGCCCCAGGCATTCCGTGGCTCGGGGGAACCATCATTGGATGTAGTTGGGGCCCGGCTGGCTGCTGCGGCATTCCCTGAGGGATTGGCAGCCCAGGAGGGTACACAGGGGGGACACCAGGGGGTACCATTGGAAAGCCCGGCGGCATGGTCATCATTGGCGATGGTGTTGCAGCTGCAGCTGGATTTCCAAAAGGAATCACAGCACCGTGCATCATTTGAACGTTCAAGGCGCCGTTCATCTGTGAGTACTGCTGCATGTCTGGCAAGCCGGCTTGAGCCCTGAGTCGAAACAATCACACGGCAATTCATTCAGTCTATTCTCAAATCAAACATGCCATTTGATCCAGTGTCTCTTAGATCCCGAAAATAACAAACATGCAGCACTTCTCTGTTTAGATGCAGTCCAGTTACAAAACCTTCTGCCGTTTCCTTTGAAGAACCTGGTCATGTTTGACCTTCATGGCCTCCTCATAGGAGCCAATCCCATTGTCCCATTCGTCAGTCCTGACAACTGATGGCGCTCTAGTGCGCGTCAATGTGTCAATTCGAGCTGTTTGTTTTGCTGCGACAAACTACATTAATGATGTCAAACGGTGGCATTTTTACATGGCATGGCGTTCTGGTTCTGATAGAATACACATTGATCAACGCCAAGGTGCACATGCTGAATTGCTTTGTGGAGGCTCTTGCCACAGGACTTCTCATACACTTCCATTCGGTCCGACTGCCAGAAGTTGCAGACATGTCTGGCCTCAAGGGTGATCATAAAGGGTTTTGGAGCCATAATCTGAATGAACTTATTTTGATTTTAACTCTAGGGGTGAATACTGATGGCACATCCGACTTCTGTATGCTGAAAAGCAACCAAGCCACCAGAATGGCCTTGAATGGGCTCGGAAGGGAGGCCCAAGGAAACAAGCCACTCACGAACGCAAATAGCTTTTGGCGTTCTGTGGCCTGCAAGCCACTCGTAAATTGCCTTGGAAATTCTCTCGGACTAGCAACTTCCATCAGTTCTATCTGGTACTGCGGATCGAGTTGGCCGATGTAGCTCACTGAAGATTTGAACTTGTCCACCGAAGTCCACTGGCCAAACCCGGATGGGTCCATGCCGCGAGCTTGGCGGCCGCTCCCCTTGAGGCCGAATGCCATGGCGCGCGAGAAATGCACGGCAGCAAAGAGGGAAGCTGTAATGGCCACAACTAGTGCCAGAGAGAGCACAATGGGTGATCGTGCCACATTCATTAATGTTTACAAAATCCACCTGTCAAATGGTCGGTATTTATCTGTAAGTAATAGTATGGGTTGCTGTGCATTGCAGGCAGCGACGGCCCAGCCTGGTGGGGAAGCATGTACCCGCAGTGGGCCACGGGACTGTATGCAAAGTGCAGCTCAATGGATTGACCAGCCACATCACCAGCGTCAGCGATGATACAAAGGGACTTTCGTCCACCGTGGGAGCTTGCTGCTTGGCCCAATGCGTGCCAAACATCTTTCATGTAAGCCAAACAATACAACCTGACATCATCGTCAGAGTTAGAAGCTGGTTTTTCCTCATCACCTTGCTCATCATCACCAGCAAAGCTCCTTTTCCTTTGAATGGCCTGGATAGATACGTTTTTCGCTTCTTGCAACATCCTGGAATTGGAGTTGCCCAACCACACATATAAATAGAAACAGCGGCAATTACCAGCCTCTTTAAACATCAAAAAATGGACCTCTAGATGTCTTCTTCACTACTACACTCTGTCCTTGATTGGTTCTCTGCCAAGAAATCTCCAATTTGCCTCATGATATCAAATGCCAGGCCAAGCATTCGATGGGACCCTGCGGAAGGAGAAGCCCCATGTGACAGAGCAAAGCAAACGAAGTCCCCCAGGCAAGAAGATAGCATGGATTCTGTGGACAAAGTCAAGCCGGCATCCGATTCGAATGTTCCCAAATAAATGCTACGCCATGTGCTGCATAATGCTGCCAGCAACGTGTCTGAGTTCGCACAATCATCTGTTGGAAAAACATCATGCAGAAGAATGTGACCAACCTGCAAATACCAGGCGGAGCCAATTACACATACACATATATACCCTATATAGGAACAGGCGATCAATAGTAATATCTAATAATCATGAATAGCTTTTATTTCATGAAACTGAAAATGAAAAAACATACAATACATCATGATGTTGACATCGACGTGAATCGTGACTGCAGCACTGGTGCTAGCTACATGTTATATTTGGTCTGTGGTTATCAGGTGATGTGACAAACTGGAGTAGAAACCCTAGCCCATTCCTGAGGACTGGCTAAGTGGTGAATAGTTTGAATAAAGCAAAACGTCTCAGTGACAAAATATCAAAGGGTGACTAAATCAAATGTTTAGGACAATGATAATGAAAACGAAACCATGACACTGTTAGAATAAATGACTGGCGCAAACACGGATTTAACATAAAAACAAATGGGCGCACAAGAAAGTGCCAAACGCACCTGAGAAAGGTGCACTGTTCGGGAGGGGCCATTCCAAACCAACTCCTCAGCCATGGGTTCTCGTGGATTGCCAAGACCTCAGCAATGAGACCCATACGTGCCGTTGAAGGCGGCGCCATACAATTTCAATAAAAACTCCAGCAACCCACCCCATTGAACGCATCAATACATTGGGGTTTTGCAAACACGCAAAATGGTCATCATTGCCCAAATTAGGCACGCAGGGGAGCAGGCAATTGCAATCTCAAATCTGGAAAGCTGGCCCCAACTTTGTTCAAATACTTCTGCAGAAAATGAAGGCCTCTAGGGTCGATATTGTGGACTTTGCGGTTCGCGAACGCTTCATAGATATTAGGACATCGCAAGGCCACACGGGGAACTTGTTGTATGACGTCCCAGACCAATATTGCCAAGAATGATCTGATGCCAACGGCGTAAAAACGCTTCGGTTTGCTGAAAACCTCGGGGACCTCAGGATTCGTGTCAGTTTCCTGGTCAGTTTCCCCTTTCTGCTTCTTCAGCAGATTCAGAACGCAGGGGGCGGGTTTCAGATCAGGCCAAATGATGTCAGTGAGGTGTGCCCAAGCCTGCAAGCGTGAAATGCAACAAACTCACAACAGTTCATTCTGCCTGATGATTTCATCTAATCAACTTTGAGGAGAAAAACAAATCAAACCCAGGAACTGACTGACTGGTCCTGATTCGGTGGTACAACGCCTGCTGTCTGAGAACAAGTCTGTCATGGTAGTACCATCTCTTCTCTTCAATTCCCACTGCAGTTCACAATTTGGCTCTTCAATAACCTCAATGACTCACAAATTCACTGGCAAAAGCCAGAGGAAAATGTACAGGGCCAGTGAGATGAAACAAACATTTGACTGCGTCACTGCGCAGCGACAAACCTCCATGGCGAAGCTCAAAACATAATAGAATTTGCTTTTGTTGTTAGTTGTGAAATCACTGCTTGAAATACAAAAATGCGTCCCAGGAACCACAAGTTGACCACCTGCAACTCCAAAATCAAAAGTAAATAATTTTGGGGGTTCTGCACCATCCTGGTCAGCACTGACCACTGGCTCATCAGCAGCAGGAAGGCTGTCTGCACCACCGTCTTCAGCACTGACAACTTGTTGTTGATCAGCAGGCTCTTCAGCCATTCGAAGAGGCACGGCGTCAAAGACTCAGTTATTAGAGTTGTCCGAATCAATGAAGGCTTCATTATTTTTGCTATCACAGGACAAATTATTCAAACAATATTGGTACCAGCACTGCGCAGCACATATGCATAACCTATGTCACATGTTGCTTCCCGTTTTGTAATTGTCATGCACGTGTGTAGCCACAGTTTGCTTTCCATTGCGATTCAAATTGCAATCCTTTAAATAAAGTGAATGCCAATGATACTTTGGTTGGCCACCTTAACATCTGAAATACCACTTTAAAAATGCATTTTGTTATAAAGAAACCAAGAATAGATATTTGTTGAAACTAATCGATCTAGGATTTAATGAAACTTGGTGCACTGTGTATGAACCACGTTTTCTCTGAGCAGCTGGCATCCTCTCATCATTTGAAGACCAAGCGCCAAACATAGTTCGAAACGTATCAATTATTTTGAACTAAATTGATTTAGAAGTTGGCGTATGATCTCTTCTATGAGCAGCAAGCATCTTTGTGTCTAGACAAGAAAACAAAAATCTGCGGTGTCCACCGTTTTTCAAGCAATCCAAAAGCAAGAAAAACTGTTTTTGCCAGAAACACTGTTCGAGCTGACAATGGTGAAACCACCCTCTGGCAGAAACGAATTAACTCAATGCTGCAGCCCAAAGCGCAAACCTTGCACAAAGACTGCTGCTCACGGCGCAAGCCTGATTTCTACGGGGAGCCGCCAATCGATTACTCAGTCTTGCGGCATGTGGGCTGCGGTGCATTATCAGTCCGCCAGCGTGAAAAAGCGCTTGAAACTGCGTTGTCTTCCGGCTTCACTGCAGAAGGCACAGGATGCGCCGGAACTGTAAAATTTTGGTGGCTGCGTCCTGCCATCTTTGGAGTTGGAAGCTTTAGACCCTCTCCATAATTCGGAGCAAACACCACGATGCTTGTCTTGCCCTTGGGGCCAATTTCTGGCTCTGGTGGCGGTAGTTTGGCCCTCTTAGAAGGAACCGCTATTGTCAGTGACTCTTCTGGAGGGGTGTGCTCGAAAGACTGTGACCCCTGTGGAATTGGGTCTTCGCGCAAAGCATCTAAGCAATCCAAACAAATTGTCACAATCATGTCAGTGATCTTGTCTGGGCGGAAGCTGAAAAGAGCTGCATCCTGCACATCGTCTCTTCTCTCATCATGAAAATGTTCTCCTCCGAATGAAAACGTGCGCACAAAAAAAAACACAGTCAGTCAGTATGAATCTGTAATGTCAAGTGTATGCCCTTGCAAAACAGAAACAAGTAATTCAAAGTTCGCGCTTGAATTGACCTAATAATACTGCGTTTACAATGACAAAAGAATAGAAGTAGGAAGGAATCTGGGTTCTCACATTAGTGCACGCATGGCGGCTCTTCTTACCTCATATGATTTGAGACTGGGCGCGTAACAAACAAGGAAGGAGTGTTTCAATTGCTCGTTGCCTTCCGTGATCAGAATGAGACATCAATCCTTTCACTGCCTTAGGCGGACGGCACCAATGAAGCTCCAGGCACAGCCTGAATGAACATTAAAAATCTCAATAACTGCGAACATTTCTCAGGCCATGACAACATAAGCATTTGGCCGCACACATAGCGATTCCATCAGAAAAACAATTTCTGGCGCGCATAATTCCAGCTCGTCCCTGGCCTCAAAAGGCTGCGAAATGAAATTTCAAACGGAGCAAGGTTAAACAAGGCGATAATCCGATATGACACTCATCAGCCAATCAGATCAGCAAAATGCAAGGCCTTTGTGTCTCAATAATGTCACACATCCAATCCAAGTCACAAGGCGCCATGCTTTCTTGTTATGCTGCCTGAATCAACATATATTGGTTACATCAAATACAACTGCAGGCAAACAAAGGAAAGTGAAAACTGCAACTTGTCACAGCTATCTATCTCCCCCATTAACTTGAGCGCCGCACCCTCTTGCGTCTGCTTTGGGATACAAACAAGATCCTGGTACAGGTTCCAGTAAATCTTTGACTGCGATGTAAAATTCCATCAACTCCAGCTTCGGAACTTCTGCATTTCGTACGCTGGCTGTCTGAAAATTCGAGGGCAGGTGCCTCAGTTCAGATCAGCTCCAGCTTCAATTGTTGTGAAAGAATGCCAAAAAAACATGGGATAGCACTTTTGGTGAGTGAGCCAAAATACCCGGGTCTCAAATACCACACAGATGCCATACACATTTCAGCAGCTGCTCGCGCCACACTTGCACCGCGATACAGTCCTGTTCGGCCTCATGATTTCAGGCAACATTATGCAGGGGTTGCTGCCAGCGCAATTGGATTTTACAATGAAATGGGACTGCTGGGGAGAGTGGAAACATATCAGCAGTGCAGGAAAGTGTCTGACCAAATCGATGGCCACACGGGTGCAGTGGGGGCTGACTTTGCGCAAGAGCATGTGCTGTACAGATAATATCTGCACGACGAGAACCGCCACTGTTCCCACAGCGTGGTGGGAACCCATTTTCAGGCATTTGATGTACGACTCCAAATCAGACTCATCTGAGACATCTCCTGGGCAGGTAAAGACCGGTCAGTAGCGAAACTCACCGGTTAATAAACTGACTGAATTCAATCCTGGCGTGTTCACATCAGTAGCCACATCGCCATTATCATAATTTCAATTTCAGCAAAGGGTCCAAGGGAGTCATATTTGCCAGGGTCTTCGGACCAGGTCCCACGGACATCCAGAGAAATGTGCATTTCGGTTCTGAAAGTTCCTCAATTTCAACAACGTTGAGTAATATCTTGTCACAGTCACAACAGCCTGGCAAACGTCACTCGCATGGACTGTCATAAATCCTGAGGGAGCTGCTCTTGAGGTACCCTGGTACAATGTTTTTCCCAGGTAGTTTTCCTCAGTTGACGGACAAATGACGACGAATTGACCAGCAATGTCGAAAAAATGAAGGGGGAGTCACATCGTGTTTTCACAGACCAAGAATCGTACATCATTAGTTAGGAAATAGATGCTCTCCGCACCCCAAGGTAGCAGCAAAAATTGGGTCTCCAAAGAAGAGTCCACCACAGGAGCAAATGATACCATGGCTGAATGAGTCTACTGCTTGCTTGCACGATTGTTTCTTATTGTTGACAATGAGCCGAAAGTTGAAGGGGCATAGACATCAGCAATTTAGCATTTTAATCAGGTTCATCCTCACAGACATGCACGCACACAAACATCCACGCAATGTCCACGCCTGCTGCCACTGTGCAACAAAAGTGAGCACCTGAGACTCAGGGCACATTGGTTTGAATCCAAATCGAGCACGAACGAAGCGCTCTGCTGCACATGTACTTTGATGATGTCGAACAGTAAACGGCCTCAAAATCACATCAGTTCACGGGCGGCTGAACATGATCATCCTGCCAAAATTGAAGAAACAGGATAAAAATAATATCTTCACGCTGTCAAGCATCATGAAATGACCATACCTTGAACTGAAAGCACGATTCATATTGATGATGTCCATTGCCTGAATGGCCCAATAGCTCTCAAAGCATTGCTTTAGTGGGTTTCCTGTTGTAAGAAAACTGTCATAGAATCTTAGAAGCTACAAAACTCCAAAATAATATGGTGCACTTTCCTCTGCTCCAGGTATTTTCTTGAGCAGTACTTCAGATCAAACCATCTGCATACCTTGTTTCAACTCCAGAACCCACTTCTCATACAAAACCTCCTGAATTCTGACTATGGCTTTGTGAAAGTAGACTTCTGAGCTCTGAATTTGATCCGTGCCTTGCTAAATTTACAGCCTCAAAAATCAGAGGATTCCGCTTCTTCGCATACTGTAGTCTCTTAACCTGGGCCAAGGCAGGTGGATTTGCTGGTGGAATTCTGAACACATGTAATTCCTGAGGCTACAATCGTAGTCCCAACAATCCAGTCAAAATAAATGTTCAACACTATGATGCTTTTGCCATTTGCTTCTCAGTATCAGTTTCATTCATCAATAGTAGTTGCAAGCAGCGCATTTTTTTCAAATGTGGTGAAACTTGCAGCTCTTTGACATTTGAGCTACGACGTCAGACATCCGCGTGGCCAACCAAAATGAATTGTTAAATCAAATTGCAACTGGATGCTGTAACTTAGTGAACCAATCCGGACTGCAGCGCAATGGCACAAGGTGCAAGTCACACATAGGGATGACTGAAAAGCTGCTCATGCTGCCAATTCATAGGGTGGGTAGAATTTGGTCTCCACGTTGATGTCGTCTTCGGATTCCTTGATCTGGTCCCAGGTCGCTCCATGAAGCCAGATTGCCACCAGGTGGAACCATGGCCCATACCCGTCACCCATGTCCAGCGGAAAAGCCCACTGCTTGCCCCCAGCTGAAATCGGGTGTTTTTTGTGACCTGAATACCATTGGAATGCAGCCAGCTCGTACTTGATGGACCAAAAAACATTGTCCTGGAAAAGGCACGTGGACACGGCATAGGAGTGATTTGGCTGCCACATCGGCAGCGCCTTTGCGTCCCCCTTTGTTTCCCATGTCAAAGCAGTACACTCCATGAATACCTTGCTTCGTACACTCTCCAGGCACCAGTCCATGTGTGAGAATCTTTGCAGCGCTGTAAAATGAGCTGCTGTGGATGCATCGATTTGCCTGGTACGTTTTGCCGCCTTCAACAACCGTGATAGTCCCATCTTGGTTGTATCTTTTCGAATTTGCGGTACCTCCCAGCTCAGGAATCGGCGCCTTCAAGACACAGCGCCAGGTCTCACCATAGTCGGGGTGGTGGACCTCCCTATTCTCTCCCCACATCATAGGCTCCTTTGTGATGGACTCGAACATGTCAAGATTCACCTGCCTCAGACTCAACCACGCCAACGGTCTAGCCACATCCACCAATGGGTCCAAGCGTTCCCAGCTTCGAGGTCTGTTCAACAACCCCTCACACTGGGCATACGCCTTGCGATTGGTCAGGGACAAGTTGAACATTGGAGGATCATCCCTGTAGTAGTGGGCCATCACCTCACGCTTGTTGGCATTGAGAGGCTTCTTGTTTTTGGGAAAGGG